TGATGTCATAGCGTATGGCGATGGGAGTGACGGGAGGGAGAAATATATGCTTTATTTGATTGTTTGTATGTATAGTCTGTATATATAATTATGATAATCATCTCTTTTGACTGTATTTACGACAAACAGACAAATCTATTACCGTAACCGTAATGTTATGAGATGTGGTGACACTTATTGTCTTCAGAATAACGTTTACTTTTAGATATAATTATAGTATTTTACAAATGAAGTCAAATTCTGGTCAGAATTCGGAATATTTTTCTCAATCTTATTATATACTCGAACTGATTGTCAGATTTAACAATACCTCATCGATTGTATTCAATTTAAACCGGTTTTAGTGATTAATTGCTCTTTAATTACGGTATATATCATATAATTATTATTATAGAAATATTATAGAAATTATATTTTCATAACATTATATTTTTCAATAAAATTATTAACAGCTATTTGAGTGTCAAATCAATTGATTAATGAATGGAAACTCTAATCAACTAAACCCTGATCAGAGTGAAAGTTGTGGACCTATTGTCCCGATTTGGGAACTCATCGATTGGTGGTAATCACGCCATGTATTGGGCACTGGACTAAGTGCTCAACTAAAGTAAAACAGTTTTATTTGAATTAAGTCTAATAATCAATACATTAATTACTTTAAAGGAAACAATAATCTAATGAATAATCAATTGAAATAAGTGTTAAACTAATAGTATGTCTATTTGTTGGCATTTGCACCAGTGATGTCTTTCCACATGTGGTCCTCGTGCTCCTTGTGGTGGTCGGCCTTCTTCTTGGCCTCCCAGGCGGCCACAGCGGCCGGACTGTTCACTTTGCGCTGTATGTATATCCAGAGGGGAAAGCAGATGACATTGGCGTACACGAAGTACCTGAAGAACCATCCAGTCTTGAACATCCACNAAGTACCTGAAGAACCATCCAGTCTTGAACATCCACCGGAAGGGCATCTGCGACAGGCCCGCCATGGGCGTCAGCGGCACCACCTGGGGCTTGCCCTGACCAGGGTTACGGAACACCAGCATACGAAGTGCACTCACACGCATTGTCACCAATGGATCCGATTTACACCACGAGAAGACACACTCAATGCAGTCTCAATGCTACACAAAATGGTTTCGTTTCATAAATAATGTCTCTTTTGATCCCCTTTTATGTCAAATGCTTTTCATTCACTTCAATGCATTTCGTTGTAAACATTGTCTCACGTTTTCACTGCTCTCAACCAACTGTGGACTGAAGGTTACATTTGTTGACAATTTTGTTCACTTATAGCGTTACGAATATCGAGAGGAAAGGTTTGCAACCAAATAGTCAACTTAACCTCACATCCAATGATTGATTACAAAGGGTTCACAAAGTGATAACAAATGGTAACATCATCTTTGATTAATAACAGTTAGACCATTGAATGCCATGAATTTGATGATAAAAGTGAATATAAACTTGGATTGGATTCAGAATTGATCCCAAGAAGTGTATAATCAGTGGTGAATGTGGTGGCAGTTGTGGTGACAGTTGCAGACCATGCTATCCCGGGTGAGTCTCATGGATTTGGCGGGAATCGCTGGCTTCGTGGGCATTGTGGGCGCCGGTGTGTCACTGATTCTGGTGAATCGTTCAGAGAATTCACATTCAAATTGAATCAAACAAACCGATTGAAAGGCTATTTCTCATTGCATTCGTTTAATCAAAGAATTCTCTATCCATCCGAAGAACACAATCAACAGTTGACCGCAAATAGGACTCAATTGGAGACTTTGGCCAAATTGGCCGCCGATGCCATTCACCAACAATCAGGTCTCACCTATAAAGTGGGCTCCACTTCAGATGTCATGAGTAAGTATGAGTAGTAGTAGAAGTTGACCACAATTTCACTGACATTTCTATTAGAATCCACTTATGGGTCGAGTATTGATTGGATTCACAATCATTTAAAAGTGAAACTAAGTTTTGAGCTAAAGTTAAGAGATTTGGGAGAATTCGGGTATTTATTGCCTAAAGACATGATTGTAGGGACGGCTCAGGAGGTCCTAAGAGCCATCGAAGTCCTTCTCAATTCACTTCTTAAGAATCCCTTATAATTGTGTGTAAAATGAGTTCATTTGCTGTGAATTTCAATGTATTTGATGTGTTGTGAATAAAAAGTGAAATTTATTTGCCGTATATTTGGTCATCATTTTTATATACAATCACTTTCTTATCGCTAATGTCATCAAAGATAATCTCGAGACGTCTGAGAGTCCACTCGTGGTGGACGTGTTGGCGGTCGGCCCACACGTATAGATCACCGCTTTTGTGGATCCCTTTGAAGGGGACTTTGAGTCGAGTGGACAGCGAGTCAAACGAGTTGTTCAAAGAGTCACTCAAATCGATCCTATATTTCCTGACGGGTCCGCCGATCAAAGCAATGGCCGCTTTGTTTCGCTCAAGAGTTGCGAACGCTTTCAGATAATAGTCCTCTTTTGTCACCCTATCTCTGGATCTGTTCACCAGAATCAGTGACACACCGGCGCCCACAATGCCCACGAAGCCAGCGATTCCCGCCAAATCCATGAGACTCACCCGGGATAGCATGGTCTGCAACTGTCACCACAACTGCCACCACATTCACCGCTGATTATCACCACTCATACACTTCTTGGGATCAATTCTGAATCCAATCCAAGTTTACAATCACTAAACTTATCATAAAATTCATGGCATTCAATGTCTAACTGTTAATAATCAAAGATGATGTTACCATTTATTATCACTCTGTGAACCCTTTGTAATCAATCATTGGATGTGAGGTTTAGTTCACTATTTGGTTGCAAACCTTTGCTCTCGATATTCGTAACGCTATAAGTGAACAAAATTGTCAACAAATATAACCTTCAGTTCACAGTTGGGTAGAGCAGTGAAAACGTGAGACAATGTTTACAACGAAATGCATTGAATTGAATAAAAAGCATTTGACATAAAAGGGGATCAAAAGAGACATCATTTATGAAACGAAACCATTTTGTGTAGCATTGAGACTGCATTGAGTGTGTCTTCTCGTGGTGTAAATCGGATCCATTGGTGACAATGCGTGTGAGTGCACTTCGTATGCTGGTGTTCCGTAACCCTGGTCAGGGCAAGCCCCAGGTGGTGCCGCTGACGCCCATGGCGGGCCTGTCGCAGATGCCCTTCCGGTGGATGTTCAAGACTGGATGGTTCTTCAGGTACTTCGTGTACGCCAATGTCATCTGCTTTCCCCTCTGGATATACATACAGCGCAAAGTGAACAGTCCGGCCGCTGTGGCCGCCTGGGAGGCCAAGCAGAAGGCCGACCACCACAAGGAGCACGAGGACCACATGTGGAAAGACATCACTGGTGCTAATGCCAACAAATAGACATACTATTAGTTTAACACTTATTTCAATTGATTATTCAGTAGATTGTTGTTTGCTTTAAAGTAATTAATGTATTGATTATTAGACTTAATTCAAATAAAACTGTTTTACTTTAATTGAGTCCATCGCCCAATACATGGCGTGATTACCACGAATCGATGAGTTCCCAAATCGGGACAATAGGTCCATAACTTTCACTCTGATCAGGGTTTAGTCGATTAGTTTCCATTCATTAATCAATTGATTTGACACTCAAATAGCTGTTAATAATTTTATTGAAAAATATAATGTTATGAAAATATAATTTCTATAATATTTCTATAATTATATGATATATACCGTAATTAAAGAGCAATTAATCACTAAAACCGGTTTAAATTGAATACAATCGATGAGGTATTGTTAAATCTGACAATCAGTTCGAGTATATAATAAGATTGAGAAAAATATTCCGAATTCTGACCAGAATTTGACTTCATTTGTAAAATACTATAATATATCTAAAAGTAAACGTTATTCTGAAGACAATAAGTGTCACCACATCTCATAATATTACGGTTTGTCGTAAATACAGTCAAAAGAGATGATTATCATAATTATATATACAGACTATACATACAAACAATCAAATAAAGCATATATTTCTCCCTCCCGTCACTCCCATCGCCATACGCTATGACATCACGTAATCATCTCAAGAGATAATTGGATGCATAGGAAGACATAAGACAAGCATTGAATGAAGCATTCAATGCATGCGTCGTCTCCTCTTCCACAACATAGAGGCCGACGAAAGGCTTGAACTGTAAGACGAAGACGTGGCTGAAGACAATCCCATCGTTAAGAATGGATTCCTTGTGGACGGAACGGCAAAGTCCATGGCTCGGGAGGAATGCGAGTGGTTGTGATGGCGTTGTCTTTGAGTGCTTTTGTTGGATTTGATCACTTCATAGAAGTCCGACTGTTCGTCGTCGCCATCGAAGTTGTTGTCAGAGTTGTAGTCATCGGAGGACTCGCTGAGGGACGACGTGTCGGTCATATCGTTATCGCAATCCATTTGAATGCCATTCAGTGTTAGGTTAGTGTTTGAGCTGTGATTGGCCTCAGAAATGGTTGAACTCCTCTTCCGTTTGCCGGTATATGAAGACATTTGAAAGCCATTTGTGTGACACTCTTGAGGACACATCTTGGCGTTCAATGGGTTCTGCTTTTTGTTCACTCTTTTGGCCTTTCGGGCGGACATTTGGTTTGTCTTACTATTGAGACCACCATTGCTGTCGTCATCCGATTCAGAGTCTGATAATATCAATAGTTTGGAGCGAATCAGAATCGATGCACTCCTCGCCACTGGCTTCTGGTTCTTCGCCGATCGCATCTCAATGTCTCTCTGGCCCTCAGACTGACCGTTGATGGCAATCATGTCAGCGTTGGATGTGCTCTGAATGTGATGGACGTCCACGTCTATCATAGTACTACTCAACTCATCCACCAATTCATCCATTTTGACAATATTCAGGCCACTGATTGGTGTCTTACACGTCAAATAGTCATGTCTTTGATGGCAAACTGTGAATGTGTTGATTGCGGTGAATATGTCTTGAGATACAGTCAGTGGTGATAGTGTCGACTCAAACCAAACAAACAGTCATTTGTTGTGGCGATCAGTCTATCACTCAATCAGTGATTCACTATTTGGGGGCAAATTGTGTTCAAACGCGACGTTATTATAGCCTTACATACAGTACAACACTATTAGTAATATAGGAATTTGCATACAATTCTAGTTCACTGCTCTAATTGTACCAGAATATTATTCTAATAAACTACCAAGCACAGTATAGCATTATAATCAAAAGTAAAAACTCTATTCATTAAATGCAATTATGTTCATAGACAATTATGAAGGTTTTAATTGTTTTATTGAAATTATATGATGACATATAAATAAATAGACACTAAATTGTTAAACTAGATAAATAAATAACTAGTTCAAATTATAGATCTTTATCCGAAAAGCTAGTGTTGTCTATATATTGCAAGTGTTGACCACTCAATGGATTGTTGTGAATATTCCCACTTTCTTTGCTTTGATTCACTTGTATGACAATGGGTTGAGATCTCAATTCCTGGATTCAATTGAAATGTATTTTTTAAACAATTATATTCACTTTGAATAGACTTGTGAAGCAAACCTCTAAGTTTGATTCTTTGAAGTCCTCTGATTTGATACAACCCGGACACAAGTAGTGCACGAGTGGACTCATCTGCGAATGGTCTCCCTTTTGGATGGCATCTAAAATATGAGATCTTTTTATAGTAGTATTCATTTAATATATCATATTATCTTCAATACTCGACACAAATTTGGTTTTTGAGAAAAATCGTTCACAAATCTGACTGACAATTGAGCCCACGATTAGTGTAGTGAGGAATCCAATGACTGGTATATACATGTAGTTTATATGAAACAGTCTTAATATTCCTCTGAAAATAAATTTAAATATTATAATTTATAATTGCTTATTTATAATATCATGACTTAATAATATGATTTAATATGCAAATACTGTGGCTCGTAGTGAACTGAATACTGTCTCTGTGCGGCAGACATCCAGGTCTTCTCAGAACTGAAATGAAATTAAAATAACAAACAATGAATTGAATTAAATTATTGAATTACACAATAGACTTTTTAAGTCTATGAAAAGTGAATAAAATTCATAAATAATTGATATGTAATGAATGAATTAAGAAATTGAATTAAAGACCAAAAAACCCAAACAGTTAGTCAGTGACAGGTATTTGGGAACAGAGTTAGACGTGAAACTCTGTTCCCAAATACCTGTGGAGTGGAAAAAACTATTAGAAAAATGTATACCTAACTTATAACCACTGCATAACTATAGACTCAAACAAATTTAAGTTTGTAATGTATAACAATGATACTTTATGCCATGAATAGTTTAAATAAACTTATAGTATACATAATGAAACCAAACTGAATGTTTTCTAACAAATGTGAAAAAGTTTTATAAATTCTAAAATTGTTTTAAATAAATATAATTACTTTGTGTGACACATGAATAATAATTGTTTCTTACACTTGAGAAATAATATCTGGCGGACAAGATGTGACCGATACGGGCAGTTGAAACCCCTTGGGTCGGGGGTATATGATTGTGCCGGTTGTGATGACTAGACAAACTCCAATCCCAGATACTAGTCCAGAAATAGCACCCTTTGAGTGCATAAAATGTTGATTATATCATGAACAGAATATGAATGAATGTGAATTACAATAGCGTTGACACACGGAAAGAATATTCCCAAACAAAACATAGACAGAAGAGGACCAGTGATAGAGCCCGACAATGCATACGAAGCCTTATTGTGAGGATTAAAACAAATAATTTTTCAAATTAAACTATTGGAGCAAATCATGAAATAAATACTTGTAATACAGTTCCCAACCGTCCCACTACAAATGCGATGCCAATCGCTAACAAACCATAAGTCATGGCTTCAGGTAATTAATAATCTTAATATTTGATTTGATATATAAAAGCAATGAAGATTACCAATAAATTTTGTCATCAAAAGTTGTTTTTTGTCTTTAATATTTCGAAAATATCTCTTCAATAAGTCATCCCAAGTGACTGTCGCTAATGCATTGAAACCAGAGGATAATGTGCTGATAAATATTGCAATAAAATTGTCATTTTGATTACATTTCTTCAATCGATCTATACCTCAAAGAGCCGCTGAAAACACATGAGACAAACAGACCGGGAAGTCCGGGTAGATTCGATAGGGTTTCCATTACAAAGTATGGCATCAACTTTTTATATTGATCATTTCGTAAAAATTTTAATAGAATTAGAGCCATTGAATGGAATAAGTGTAATAAATAAAATATACCTGGTCGTGCTTATCTACTAACTTTAATGATATCGGATCACAGCCATTATATTTAGCAAATATAACAATTCCACACCAAATGGCAGTAAATGCAATTATTAAAACACCCGGAATATTCCAATATAATGCCCTAATAAAAAATACAGTTTAAACTTATAATTCGGTTTAAATAATAAATTTTAAGTTTAAAAATATGTTCACAATATTTGATTTAATTATAACTTTTTAGCCTTTTGGGGAGTACTCATACAGCAATATCTCTGCACTTGAGTCTGTTTAACACAATAGGTACCCGTCCAAGCCGTCAATGTGCCCATGAAAACGGCCCAAAATGTATCGCCTCTATACAGACTAAACTCAGAACTGATACAAATGTATATGATTATAAAGTATATTTCTCAATTAATAGGCACCAAACTTAAATATAACAAGTCGATTGTTATCGTAGGCTATTTTCCAGGGCTCCAACACACCTCCCATTTCTATTGAGCCCACTATTGCCACCATAAGTAGACCACTGAACATGAGGATAGTCTGTAACACATCCGTCCAAATAACCTATTGACCAATTTGTCGTATAAATTCTTGTTGCATATCATTCATCCAGATCTATTTCCTTCATATTTACCGCTTTAATACCGCCCTATGTTTTTAAAATTAATAATAATAATAATTAATTTGAATACAATTAAGATATTGTATCTGTAAATAAATCTTACAATTGATGTGTAGAAAGTACAAATGATACCCACAACCAGTATTGAACCGGTCACAGACAACGGGGTGACTGTCCATTGTTTAATAGAGTAGTTATTCACAGATATTATAATATAATATACAGAATATACAGTAATATACAGTATATTATACAGAAAATTCTTATTAGTAAAGCTATTCATACCAGAAGCCAATGCTAATGCTGGTCCGTACAAAACAACTCCCAGATATGGCAGCTAAACATTATTTTATGTTTAATAATTATCGTACCGGTAATATTTTACAATTTAAATTTTATACATATAAAACTTAATAAACTAAATTATGTGTATTTAAAATAACTGTTTAAAACTATAATATTGTATTTGATAATTTATGCATTTATTGTGAAAAATCTATATATTTATTGTGGTTGTTTATATTTTATGTTAAATTGAAATTAATTAGACAAATTTTATTAAAATTTTATTAAGTAATGAAAACTACTATACTATAATCTTGTTGTTATAAACGAGTGAGTGTAAAAACTTATTAACTCAACAATTGGCATTAATGTGCAAAAACTGAACTAAATTAAAATAAGAATTATTCTGAATTACAATGTTTAGTATTATAATTCATAAAATAATCTACCGTATTATAAACATAATAGTGTATACAAATAGAATTAAGATAAACTTATATTTATATGATAATATCATATATTATATTACATTCACTTTGGTGCACATTATCATAAATATAGGTGAAGGGAAATCTTGAGATTACCACTTTCTAGTTAGTTATATAAAGATTATTTTTTCAGGTTTGGAGTACTGTATTGATAAAATCTTATAACTATAATAACTTACGTTTAGATCTCGTACAAACTCTTTAGTAAAACTAATGAGTTATCATAAAATCTAAATACTTAATAATACAAATACTCTACGATAGCAATATTTTCATCAAATAATTATAAGGCTTACAGTGCAAAGAATAAACCCAATTGATCCTGATATTCGCACAGCATTTGCACCAAATCTTCGCAATAAATACTATTAAATTAGAAAAGAAAATTTAGACATCTAAATATCGATAATTCCAGTAATAAAACACTAATTATATTAAATTTGGAAATCTTTAATAATTATGTAAATATTTAATTTATAAATACCTTATGAACACTCATAAGATTGAGTCTATAGTATACGGGCATAAAAACATTGGCCGCAAGTAATACAGCGATTGTGAAGGTTATCAAATGCACGGAATATTGTGTCCCCTAAGAGATTGACTTATTAATAGCTTGAATATGAAATGAAAAACAACTTACATATAAATATATTTCTGAAGGAACTCCAAGAATGGTATTTGAGGATAAAAAACTTGCGATTAAAGACATACAAACCGGAAAGAGTGCTAAATTTTTGCCACCCGTTAAAAATTCTTCATTGGATGCCTTTTTACGATCTTTAATGGCAAAGAATATACCGATCAATGCAGACGACGATAGGAATATCCCAAACACCAAATAATCAACGATTGAAAAGTTCTTTTCAATCATTTTGAAAAGGTTTAGACTTTTTAGTTTTCAACTATAACAGACATCTAGTACAATTTTTCTCTAATAATCAATCAGTTTTATACGGTATGTTATTGAAATGTAATATGAATTGATTTGTGAGTAAACATAATTGCAAACAATGTGATAGCAAACTGCAGTTTACATTGAATTATATAATTTGAAATCGAAATATATGACAGAAATATTTTATTTAATCTTATCAATACATAGACTTTGCAAACCTCGTTTCTAATAGATTCCGTTGTGAGATATTAATACGATATAATATTTTATATAATTGAGTTTATAATTAATAGTTAAATGAAATATATTTATGTTAATAATATTCTTCTAATGAGAATTAGTAACTAAACTTATTAAGTATGTCAAACATTATTAACTAAAATGTTGCTGTAAAATATCATATCAATATATTTTAATACAATTAATAGAAAATTTAACACAAAGGTATGACATTTAATTGAAATACTATATGGATATTATTTAGTTTATTCACATGTTCACCATTATTTAAAATTCCATTAAAAATTACAACAATTATAATGAAATAAATGCTAGAGATTTTATATATGAATTAGAATATAAAATTAGTTTAAATATGTTTTTGTATAGAAAAATTCTTAAGTAAATACTATATAAAAATATTATACAAATAATTCATATTATATTTAAAAATCTAAACTTGTAAAACTTGTTAAATATAAATTCTTATGCAAATAAAAACGCCAACAAAGGTTTGTCAATTTTTAACTATAGCCAAGATTATGAAAATAAAAATTCTAAATTGTATCTATAAATGTAAATTTTAAAATGTATAATAATTTATAAATCATTAATAAGTACAGTATATAAACTTATATTTATGATAAACATTGATTATATTTGTCAACGGATGAAATAAAATAAATAATTATATTAAAATTTAATGTTAATAACAACATTTGACATTAAAATAAATAATTTTTATGATTTGAAACATGACTTTATTTAATGATCAAAAAGTAGTTTAAATTATGTAAATAAAGATAAGCGAGTTCATAATTTGTTAAATATGGATATTTTACAATTAAAAATTATATTATAAATAAATTACTATGTTTATAAGTAAGGTAGAATTAATATTTTGTTTCGAATTATAATACTAATACAGTATTATTAAACTTTTTATAAAATAATTATTAACTAACTGATAATTGAATCAATAAAAAACACTATAAAATAAAATTTGAATTTATAAAATTTGTATATGTTATATATTTATTTATTTAAGTTGATTTAAAGTGACTATTTACAGATAACATAACGATTTTTTAAATGATGATAATTAAGAATTTTATAATATGATACTTAAATACAGTACAATGAAATTTAAACTCTAGTTATCTCATGTTCATCAAAATCAAATTGTGTCTTGACCAAATATGTTTGCAGTTCTCCCTTTCCCTTTACAAATACAAGTCCCCTCTCTTCTAATACAAATTCATTTGAATTTTTACATTCAGACAATATGTGTGCCGCCTCTTGAGTCACTTGAATGCGTCCCATAATACCTGTGCTCTCCATCCGTGAGGCCACGTTCACTATAATCACAAACAAGATCGTATAAATTAATATCTATTCAAATATAGCCAATTGTATGCATCAAACAAACCCGTATCACCCCATATGTCATACTGAGGTTTAACGGCTCCGACCACACCAGCAATGAGCGGACCGACAGCAATACCGACCCTGAGTTTGAAGTCCTGAAGCGCGTCTTTATTCAATTTCTAAACAAACCCGTATCACCCCATATGTCATACTGAGGTTTAACGGCTCCGACCACACCAGCAATGAGCGGACCGACAGCAATACCGACCCTGAGTTTGAAGTCCTGAAGCGCGTCTTTATTCAATTTCTTCAGTGTTTCCATGAGTGCAGTCGCGAAACGCACCAAAACAATCACATTTCCGCGGACATCCTCTAAGCTTATCTCACTCTAAATCATACAATGTTTACAAATCAAGCAAATATTTGAATAACTTATGAAATGTTTACATCACTAGATCCTCTTCCGGGCTGTAGTCCAGAAGCTGCCATATAAGTGCTTCCTATTGTCTTGATTTTCTCAATCTTTTGGAAGTTACTGTGCGAAAGCATCTAATCATATGAAATGCTTTATTAATTAAACAAATGTATTATGAGATATGAATTACTTGATCAAAGTTTAATATGATTTCATTGAGTAATTGCAAGCATTTGAGTCCCTCTTCATTCATGAAGTTTTCTGAATAGAATTGCGAATAATTAGGAATCGATGCAAACATAACGGCACACGAGTCATAGGACTCGTGGTAGAGTTGGTCCGCAGATATGGAGCTGTTATAGAGGTAGCGCTGGGCCACGTGCACCGGTAGGATATTCTCCAACAATATGCCATTTATCTCTCCGATTGTCTGCATTTCAATCTTTTCGTCAATCAATCTGTTCGTCCACTTGAAGTCTAATCGGAATATATATTCTATTTGTCTGTCAATCATATGGAGTAATACCGCAACCATTACTACATAATAAATGTGTCCAATTAATGGATCAAATCCTATAGTACTGATCCATGGACTCTCTTCTTCAGAGCTCACGATCTGATATATCGAGCATTTATTATAGAATAATACCACATAAATAATAACTCCTAACAAATGCATTAAAAACTTAAGCCATAAATGGATTCTAATGAATAGACTGACGCCAGTCATCGCCAGAATCACACACATTGTATAATCCTGTAATTAAAACAAATATCAATCCATAAAATTACAAATTTAAATTAAGAATTTAATGAAATAATATTTAGATATATTAAATGCTTACCCAAGAATAGGCACATCTGACTAGATGAATAATTTCATTAAATTCTGTCCTATTAGTGAACATAATGTCTGTTTTGCAGTCCTTCTAATAATTATAAAATGTTAAATAACATAAATAACTTAAATAAGTTATAATTTTAACAAACTCTATAATATTTATAATATTATAAAACTTAGATAAGAATACTAATATATGAATGCTTACAACTATTATATCAAGCATTGAACAAATTAACAACGACGATGATATCAAAAACCAAATCAAAACACGGATATAAATAGACAACTGAAAACATGAATTAAATTAGTTCAATTTATATTTAGTGTAATAAATAAATATTAATACCTGGTGAGACTTATAAAATGTATAGAATAATGAAATGCAAATGACAAATAGAGTAAAGAAAAATGATATTTTCATTTCATAGAATAAAGTCATTTGAGGGATAATTAACTTGATAGCCATCAAAGTTATACAGAGAGCACCGGCACAGAACAGATACAGACTGAAGAAAGGGTCTGGCTGTTGGGCGTACACTTTCTCTGTGTTATAGATTGATGACTGATTTTGATCGTACAGTGACTTGTTTCCAACCACTCCAGAAGTAAAACATAGGAAAAATGGATGTATATCTTGTGGACGTAACCAATGACTAAAATGAAAAAATTTTAAGAATAAAGTTACAGATATTGCACTCATTATAAACCTTTTAATGTTGAGCGGCATCTTCTCAATGGCAAAGTCCATAAATCTATTGACAGAGTTGATCATTTCCCTATATCTGGTCAGACTGTGAATTGTAAATAGGGTTAAAGTAAGGATTATTTGAACTTAAAATAACCAATTTAGACCTCGACTCCAAAATAGTGGTCGGCATTCGTGAGGAATGAGACACCGGTTCTACCAAAGATCGTCTCTATTTGAGGAAATTGTTTATAATTTGTAATTTTCAAATCAAACAGCTTTTAAGCTTTTAATACTTACTCTAAATTTATTGATCTGTGCCTTAAGAGAATCTGTTTGTCTCTTTCTTTTACTATTAGGTGAACCAGAATTTGTTCGGTTGTGAGAAATGACTTCTTTCTTAGATATCAAATATCCGATCTCTCCTTCAGTTATTTTTTCTAAGTTTCGTAATTTTAATTTATATTCTAATCAATCATTTCCGATGTGTTGTAATCAAACCTTTTATCACAAAATCTTCTTTATCTGCTGGAAGTAAGAGGTCGAGTGTGGTCTGAGTGATGTGCACATATCCGGGCACTCCGTTGTGCTCCATAGCTGAGGCCAACACACTGTCCAACGACCAAATGTCATATTGCCATTTATGAAGACCCATTATCCCGGATAATACCATTCCTGAGTGCACACCAATTCTCATGTCGATATCAATTTCTCTCACTTCGCGAATAGTACTGTAATTTAATATTTGGATTATTAAACTAAATTCAACATTATAAGTTGTCAAAATTAACCGAATTATTTTAATCATCTCGAGTCCCATACGAACACAATTTATGGCATGATTTTCATCATAATCTGGAAGTCCTGACACACAGTAATAACAATCGCCTAAAAGTTTAATTCTTAAGCAATGGTTTCGTTCAGCGCTTTCATCGAATCGACCAAAAAGTTCATTAAGTGTTTCGACCAAATCGTTGGCACTGAGAGATGCCGTCAATATCATTGAGTTAACGATATCGGCGTATAGTATGGAAACATTTTTGTATTTTTTAACATAGAGTTTATTGAAGGGTCGCATTGGTATTGACTCCTGTCTTGCAATCTGTGAAATGGTTGTCCGGATATCATTGCGGACGTCATCGATAAGATGTCGGGGAAAGCAAGAGTTGAGGAGCTGTTCCTGTTGTTCCTGTTCTAACTCCAACTTAAATGTTGATTCAATACAAGACCTATGGTTTATGAATGCCTTTCGAATCGCAACTTCCAAAAGAAAACTCATATAAAATCCAAATCCAGCACTAAATGAGTAGAAAAATAGGTCCGCAATCGTAAACTTGAGAATACACTGCGATTTACACTCCATGTCCACTCTTTGTCTGAATGTTAGGGTTAATTCAATGGCTATTATGATAATAGTAGCCAAACACGAGTATATTCTCGAACAGAAGGGCACTAATATATGGTTTGCCACTAATATGTAAAATGTGGGCCGAATTTGCTGCAGAGGTAGGGACTGGTGGTTGGCTTGGAGTGGGAACAAAGTGGATCCGTATTCCTCAAACAGCATCGCCAACAGCACTGTAATGCCGGCCACTGTTCTCGATATTCTCGGCCGCAATAAGATTTCCTCAAAACAAGTGATTGCAAAGAATATTATGAATACTATTAGCGATGATATTCTTATGAGAAAAATTCCGGGAAATGTTTCCTTGTTATTCTAATATAAGAATAAATGAAATATTTTATATGAAATACTTTGATGAGAATTATAAAAATTAAAATTTCAGTTATTTAAACAAACCTTATCCAAAAAATATACAATAATTGCAATGATATTAAATAAAATATTAAGTATTAGGAGAACCATAAAGAAGGTGTGTTGGAGTCGTGCCTGATATTTGAGGAACATTTTGCTGATATCTTTGGACTTAAACTCCTTCTTCAGCGACCTCCATGACCAGTGCTCAGACTCACCCGAGTATGTCGAGTGATTGCTTATTATACTGTTATTTCGATCATTTGAATCCAATTTGATTAGAGTCGCCTGTTTTGCCAGAATCTCCACAGTATTGGTCGACATTCGGGGCATAAAAGATGTGGTTTGAGAAGATTTCATTTTAGACGACTGTCCATTCATTTTGAATTAAAATTCTATTGTTATTTAAGGCATTAGACAATAATCACATAATAGACTTATAATAAGTACTAATATCTCTTTACTTCATTGCATGAATGACAGCAATGAATGAATTGGGAATTAAATGCAGTAATTGAGAGAAAATTAGTAATTATCTTATCTTCAGTTTACTTCAGATTCGTCACAAATATTATATCTGAGATGTTTTACAATGCATTTCTAAGATTATGCCTCCCTTTAAGGTAACTCTCACTCAAGTTTGATTTTTATAATTGAAAATATAATGTCATATATTTCTTTATACAAAAAATTAAGTATAGTTTATATAGAAAGCAGAATATTGTGGCTTCATTAAATAAATAAATTTAATCGAGGAATTTTAAATGATTGATTATTTTTGTTAAATTTTATATAATTAAACACTTTAATTAAGTATAAGTGATCACATACCGGTAGTTATGTATAATTCAGAATATTCATAATGAAATTTATAAAATTGTGATTAAGTATTAAAAGCATCGCTTTTAACTTTATGTAAAAATCAAAGTTTTATAAATAATACTATAATAAATATTTGAGAAAAGCTTTTTTCTTGGGAATTAGAGATAATATTCTACATAAAAACATTATAAGATACTGCAAATCAATTGCTTGTGTTTACATTTCCGCTCTAATTATGTTATAATTTATGTGTTTATCACAAAACAATTGTAAACCTATGTTCTTGAATTCATAGATTATCTCAATGTCATAAATAAACACTCCTTTCTATTGTATTCATGTTTACTGTTTTGGCAATTCAATTATAATCTTATTATCTACTATATTTTTAGAATTTTTAAATTAATAAATATTGTAACATAATAAGTGTAACATATTCTATTTTATATAAATATTTAGTACTTCTGATCATAACTAACAAGATCAACATAAAATTCTTTATAATTTATAAATTTAAAATGAATTATTCTTAAAAAATACAATTTTTTATGCAATCACATAACACTTAAATAACAGACAATAATAAAATGTTAAATATTTATAATATAAATTTTATACCGTACATATTTTAATGTGATATCTACCATAAAAACTAAATAAAAAACAATATACTATTAGTATTGTTATTACGTTAGACAAGTTTATGGGAGTTCCTTAATTACATAATATGTAATATTATTCGGAATAAATACAAAAGAAAATATTATAATATTTATAATTTTGTACAACATATTTAATAGCTTTATAACTCATCACATTATAATTTTTTATAACTATTGCATAATATAGTATTTTATTATTTATTTAAACTAAAGAAAATATTTATGTCTTAAGATAATATAATAGCGCAATTTGTTTTGAAATAAAAATTACAATATTTACAATGTAAATGCAATTACAATGTAAAAATTTTATGATTTAACACCAGAAAATTACATTTATTTTACCAGTAATTTGAACCATTTATTTATAAAGTTGCAAACAAAGTGAATATTTTGCAAATTTATAATGTCACATGGAATTACACAATCTTTAATGTTTTACTTTAAAATGCATTCACAGTGTTAATAAAAGTAAGTTAATAGATAATTTAGTTGAAAAACTTAGAAATAAAAGCATATTTAACAGTTTTGGTTATAATCGTATTAGAAATGTGTGTTGATTGTTTAGAAATCTTTATTTTAATTATATAATTTCATTGATAAAAATACAAACACATAAATAACAGTCCATATAGTTAAGAATGTGAGACAAACATTTGTATACTGTAAATATTATCCAAATATGTTTAATGTTTATTTTATTATAAGTGTTTGGTTTGAGTATTCATCAGGAAGAAAAGTACCAAGGTATTAATTACAAAAAAGAACTATGATAGACTAGTTACAACTTTTTATATTACTTATAATTCTTGAGATTAGTTTGAAGTGCATTAGTATGAACAACATATAATTTAATGAATAAAATTTGTCCACAAACTCAACACAAATAAAATCTTTGAAAAATATTCTGTTTGAACAGAATATACAGAATCCAAGTGATAGTTAGTATCACTAGTGGACAGCAGTGGCACAACACTAATACTCAATGGCATTGAAGCCGGTATTCATCGCTACATAAATGATAAGACTTTTGAGGGATTTATGAAAACAGGTTTATGTGAAACACATGTCTCTCTATGAAAGGGTATTTTAAATTGGGTTAAGTGTTGAACGTATTTAATGATAACTTTATCTCATTGTTCGCCATATTTGACAGTTTTGCAGAAATTCCTATAGAAATAAGTAATTCATTTGAGNATCTCATTGTTCGCCATATTTGACAGTTTTGCAGAAATTCCTATAGAAATAAGTAATTCATTTGAGTATTGGTTTGTATGGCAATGAAGTGAACAGAGAATGAGTGCTGAGACTAACTGTTCATACATTGAGTCTCATTGAATGGGATTGACTGTGAACTCCACGTTTGATTCAATGCTTATTTGAATTGAATGTGAAATTCATTTAATTCTCTGTTAATAGACAATAAAATACATTCATTTCCATTGCATTCATAGTCTCATTGAAAAGTGCATTCAATTGGCGATAAGATTTGAAACGTGTGTATGAATTAGCTTTCAGTGCACTTAACACTCACTCAATATTTAATTAATTAATTGAAGTTTGTATTAAATTGTAGTTTTGTATTAGCAGTAGTTTTATAGCAAATTGTTTGAATTGTTTGATAACTGGTGTCCAAACTATTGACTACTATTTGAACGTTAATTACAATGAATTCATTGAAGTGTTTTCGTCGTTCACTCATTCATTGTGTGGAAAATGTGTCCAATATTTCACTGAAAACCACTGCAATCCAAACCCATAGAAATTGTATGTATTTTACATTTCAATCAATTATTGGTTTAGTTTTCAATCAATCAATCAATATATTGAATACTAAGCTATGAATTAACAGTATTTTAATCAACTTGTTATGATAACCTACATAATGTACATGGCTATATTTGATACACCGGTATAGCGTGTAATGAATATTCAATGCATTCAATGGCTGTCAATACATTGCAAATATATACCCTTTTTTGCTATTTAATTGATTATTTGATCAATGTAATTGTGTGATTGTGTTGTTTGAAAAACTTTTTTTTTGTGCCAAAAGTTTTGTGCAAATATATAATGTTTGTAATATTTGTGACGAAATTGTGTTAAAATAAGATTTTCATGCAATTAGTGTCACACAAGTGTCTGGTCTTGTTTTTGCCAAAACTTTGTCACTTTTGTCTTCAATATATTTATAGTATCCATACGTAAGAAGAGATCATTTTTGTGGTGTTTTTCATAATCTTACANCGTAGGTCACCTGGTCTTCAGTCTGATCCCTGTGAGGTAAACCCAAATCGTAATAAAGACATTCGAGATCCAGATATGGAAAGATTAGCTGTCAATACATAACAAGGTATACACGGTATGTGTTAATACAACCACTATTTCTTTTTAAGATAAATGCCATTAAAGATTGACAAATGCGTGCCTACCCTCTCCTTGATCTTTTCCCAAATAACCCTGGTCATCTCATCACCATCCATCTCTCTCCAGAATATTACAAATGATTTTTACAGTTAAGCATTTAATTGAGTGCAAGGTGAAGTATAAAATGGACCTTAAATAAACCTATTATAAAAATCAATTAATTTGTGTTAAACAAATAGATTGCATGGATGAATATCTGAAAATATAGTGTAAAAAAATTGGCTTAAATCCATACCTCATACCTATTATTATACCATTTAATAATTTGTGAATAATATCTTATAGATGGAACCGATAGACGTATTAAAGTGGATAACCCAGTTGTTGAGATGGATGGTGATGAGATGACCAGGGTTATTTGGGAAAAGATCAAGGAGAGGGTAGGCACGCATTTGTCAATCTTTAATGGCATTTATCTTAAAAAGAAATAGTGGTTGTATTAACACATACGCACATATGGAACAATACATAACTGTCGATTAGAAAGGTATAGACCTAGAGCTTACAGAAATAATGCTAAACCCAAATGGAGTGTCCCTAGTCTGACTTCTGGTCCACTGGATGCTACGGCGCGTTCCTATCCTTAAGTACAATGTGGGCATAAAGTGCGCCACCATTACGCCCGACGCCGCACGTGTCAAGGGTTAGACCAGTTGTGCCATTATTTGACTAGAATTTGATTGTTAAAGGAGTTGATTGTATGCAGAGTTCAATCTGAAGAAGATGTGGCCCTCACCTAACGGCACCATCAGAAACATATTGGGCGGCACTGTCTTCAGGGAACCAATTATATGCAAATCCATTCCACGACTAGTGCCCGG